CAGATTTCCTAGCTATGAAACAGAAAGTTCGTGTCACAAATTGACATCTGGAGACTCTAATGAGTATTTGTCCAAATCTCAAAAAAAATGGGTAATGTCGTTTTTGACACGGCGTTGACAGAGGGGTGCTATCGTTTGTTCCCGTCACGATTATTATAACTACTTTACTCAAGTTTTACTTACTTACATACGGAGATAATTTCTTCGACATTCGCAAAGCAGGAGTGCACTCAGACAGAATTCTTATTATGATACTGGCTATCGGCGAGCCAAGTTGATCTCGGTGAGATGAATCACCGATCAACCTATACAACCAAAAGGCTTCTATATGGGCAATTGCCTCCGATATAAATATCTACCGACTGTTTGGTGAAGACACTTCGGATTATCTACGTACCTTCAAAATGGTGGACCTGAACAAAAATACTATGCCCAATATTATAGACGTTACGTCTGCTGGCTTCTGCAAATATCAGAGGTGATATATATATATTTTTTGTTCGTTAGCAGCCACAGCTATTTTTTCTTCGTTTCTAAATGGCGTGCCAAGTTCTTAGAAATTTCGGTCGTGTAGCAGTATAAATTTGTGACAGGCTCCTGCCTATAGAGGTATTACTAGAATGAATGTAAAATGCATCCCAGCGTCTTTGGGCACAAATAGACTAATTTTAGCGAAGAGCTCGCTAACTATTCTGGGATATTGAGCGGCCGAATAGTGAATTCTATCGAACGGATCTCGACCTGTAATCGCACAACTTTCTACAGCTAGTCATAGATTCACTGGCAAGGCATTTGCAACAATCATCTGAAACTAGTTCCTTCAGACCTACGATTTGACCAGCATTAGTGAAAACGCTACGGACCACCACCTTATCCTATGAGTTGAAATAATAAACCTAACCTGCTTAGACTAATGTGTGACTAAGCTACCTCAATTATCTGTGATATTTTATGCCACTCAAGTTCACGAAAGAACCATTGCTACCATAATAATATCATAAACTCCAAGCATATGCTCGAATTGAGTGACATCACACGATTATGCTTACTTCAGACATTCGTGCTGCCTAAAAGCGGAATGCTTTTAGTTTATTTTGAATGTTTGTTTTTTTTTTTGAAATTTTATTTACTTAGAAATGTTACTACACAACTTGTTACAGGGCGATTGGTAACTCGTCGATGATTTGCACGGTTCGTTCGCATCCATTATGCCTGCATGCGTGCTCCGACCGATTTCAGTCACCTTTTTAAGTGTCAACTCGCTAAGAGTTGCCACACGTATAATTCAGCACAGCCTCGATGATAGTGTATCTATAATAATAATAGGTATCAATCTTTGATTAGTCTTGGCTAACGTTCCAATCGGATGGGTGATGGTTGATCTTCCAATGACACGTCGAGAATCCACTGAAGACCCTGGATTTGACACAACCAGTAGGCCTCTTTGTGGCGAGAGCTGCGGCCAGTGATCGGCAGCGTTTGAAAGTGTCCTCGATACCACTACAACTGGGTCAAGGCAACCTGGATTTAGGCACACTGTTACATAGAGACCACGATGTTTCAGACAACACAACTCCGTATAGGTAGTGTTATGAGCTATCGCACGAAAGCGGAGCAGGTAGCCAATGCTGAACAGGTCGCGTTGACGAACGAGTCATTTAGGCAACGAGGTGAATCCAGTGCTTTACGTTCTCAATAGCGCCGCGCGCATTCAAAGCGATTTATCGCTAGTAATGGTCTGCGTTTGGAACTGTAAACCACTGCCAGGTGCTAAATTGTACGGTTTCAGCTTCTTCTTCAATTTTCACGTTATATATAATTAAATGTAGTTTCATATACATGCAACTCAGCCGCCTTCTTTGTTACACGATGAAGAATAATCTAGATCTAAATAATGGTCTTCTTTACTCACACACATTTAAATACATATATAACTAACGAGTTGACACTTCTGGTTTTTTTCTCGCGACGACAAGAATTTACTTATGTTACTTTCAGCACATTACCACTCAATCCTATGAGAATTTTGGTAATGGTAGACATTTTTTTTTTTTTCTCTTTTTAATAAAAACCTTTCTCAGAAAATGACAGAGTTTGTTAAAATTTTAGCCAAGATGTCGGTGTAAAAGTGACGCCCCTTAATATAGCCTTTTTGTAGATGTTCTTCTTTGTTTTTTTTTTCGTTTCGAAATATGCGTAATCTATACGTGTATTTACAGAGTAAAAAAATCATTTCTCAGAAAGTCATCTTGAAGAATATAACATCTAGCTTTTTTCTTCGTAGAGCTTAGTAATTCTGTAAGCACTTTATAGATCAGTGGTTATTCTTGACTCGAGAATGCAAAGAAAAACTAAGGTTCTGCTCCATACGCGGTTACTTTCTAATAGAAAATTTGGCACGAGACACAAATCCATGAGAATATTTCTAAGTAATTTGACAGCGTAATGGGCAGAACATTATTGCGATGAACAATTATATTAGACCTGTACTCTAGAGCAATAAAAAACATTTCATTTGGTACGCACGAAGTACGGATCCGTCAATTGAATTAAATACTCAACGTACTCGTTTTGAATATATTGTCTTAGTGTTTGGATAACCTGTAGCATAGGAAGTGCTAAGTATCAGTATTAACGAATTGGAGATATACGTTAACAGTTCTTCTTTGATATATTGCGTACGTTTTCTTTACTTACTTTCTACAACGTAAAATGATTTGACCGTCTTGAATGTCAACCGCGTCAGTGCTGTAATATATAGTACGAATTATAGGATTATTTAGTTGATTATAGTATTATTATTATTATTATAGTGCGTATATCCTAATTCTGCAGTCTATACATGTAAGAATGGTGGGTAACGAGCTTTACCGTTCTCAACAAACGCTAGAAAAGGTCCATGGCGGTAACTTATATTCGCTTCTGTTCTCAGTACGTATCATAAAGCCAGCAATCTATAGTAACTTTCTTTCTATCCCATCATCTTCCGCACCATAACAAGCTGGTGCCACTTTAATCTCTAAAAATTGCGAATAGACCCGTACAGCGTGCTGTCATTTAGACTCGACAACAGGCTAATTTGACGTGGGGATTTTTTTTGCTTAGCTGAAGATAATATGAAAGCGAAAAAGTCGGGTTTTAGGAAAGCAGATCACCCAAAGGAAGCACAAAGATGGCGTCGGTCTAATTTCGCCTGAAAACACATCTTTTACATCGTATCGTCTGCTGCACCTCATGGATAATCAATTGAACGAGTGCGATGTCTGGCTACCTAAAAGGCAACCGGACTTTTACCCGTCTGATCAAATCGGACATTGTGCGTAACACTAATGCCACTTGTAGACGAATTGAGCTAATAAATCAGAAATAACAGGATCAGAAGCTTATAGATGGTTCATTTGCTAATACGAATCGAAATTGAGTGAAATTTCTGCAAGAATGGAACAGTACCACTTGAAAGGACAGTGGAAAACGATGTGGACACCTCGTGACTCAACAGGCGCTCTATGGATTGCATCATGTCGTCTGCCAGGCACACGGTCCAGGAAAACATTGCCCATGCAAACTCGAGGTACCTTTAGTCAGTACTACGACGAGATAAAGCGTTCGCTGCCCGTAAGTACGTTTCTAGATGTCTTACGTGCAGTTGAGCTAGTTGTGTTTGAAAGCAACAAAAATATCGTCCTAAATGACAATCACATCCGTACTATCATTTAATTGCAGTTCACAGAGCAAACGACATTAATGAAGACATGAAGTATATCTTCGACGCTAAAAATGACCAAGGACGGCCATCGGACAGCCTACCAGAGCAGCTTAATTCGCATGGAACGGGGGACTGCGAACCTACCAGCGCTCGAGCTTGTCTAGCCGTGGAACTTTACAACATGTCAGTAGGATAGCTAAGGAAGAAATCTACTATGCGAATGCTATTCCCGATACTGCTTACGATGGTCGACAGCAGGCTGAGGAAACAACCGAAAAAGGAAAATGTTCATAACTCCTTTTGATTATTGATAATAAACCTAATAGGAAAAACGTCAACTTGATCAGAGAATGTACAGGCCAATTGAGCTGGAGATATGAACATCTACGCTTTGCTTTTAAACGTTGTAAAGCAGCCGTATCAGATACAAAGAGATTGCCTTAGGCAAACTTAAATACTTAAGACGAGGTGCTAAAGAATTTCGACCGCTACGACAAAAATTATCTTTATCAGGACTTCGAGCTGATAAAAAGCCTAGTAAACTTTTTTCAAAAAGTAACGTATTCTGCATCATTGTCCTTCAAAGCAGGTTTTCAATCAACGAATTGAGAGGAGCGGCCAAATTCAAGTTAGTAGGCTCTAGAAGCATTTGAAGTAGAAACGAAGTCGATTATTTCGATTTACTATACAAATCAATTCCGAAAGTTTTGCGCTGAAGTTCAAAAAGAAGAAAATAGATGCCCTCATTTCCACATCAGGAACTGTGGTAGCATTGCGGTGGCTGCTGAAGCTTACCATAGCATAATCCAACATCGGAATATATATATATAAGATCATAGAGTGAGTCACTTTAGGGGTTATGTTCTAGGGACTTAATCGCAAAGTAATCAGTCGCCGCTGCGTGGTTTGAAGGACGATGACATGAGATACTGGTTTCAGGCTTCACGTCCAGTGCTGCCGTCACGCATTGCCTGAGATAAAAGACGATGATAATTTAGTCTACTCCTTTGCCGAGGCTGCACAGGTCTATATGTTATCGCGCTGTGCCTTTCTATGAAAACATATTCGTGTGTGTGTGCTAGGTTCACTGGCAAACTAATCCTCGAGACTTCCAGTTGCACATGACACACACTGCCTTTGCCTTTAAGGCCTCTAAAATAGGCAAACCCAGCGCAATATAAGAAGAATAGAAAAGGGCTAATAATTTGAACTCATCTTGTGCAAACATGTTTAGTGTCATATCAATTTAGTTGAACATAAATATATCCTAATATTTTAAGACCGTTATCATATAGATCACTATTCTCAGTTCTGTTTTTTATATTTGTCCTGAAGATTGCCGTTGCAAATCTTCTGTCGGCCTCAGAAAGCCGAATCTGCTGTTAACCCGATTGGTCTCAAAGGGAACTATTTTATTTGACAAAATTAGCAAATTCCGGATCTTAATAACTGGGCTGCTAATCTAAGTGCCTGGAAGGCCCACAGAGAGTTGAACTCAGTGCGTATAGCAGAACTTTTTTACTGTTAAATTATGAGTATGAAGCAATCAATGTGTAAAACTCAGAATTTCTACAGAGTTCACAGTTCTCCTGTAAGATTTTTGGATAAAAACGAATTCTTTTTCTCCTGAGAATCCGGCACCGGCGATGATCTGCTATCCTAAAAGCATGCATGCAAGTTGAGCTTCCGTGGCACAGAATGACTAGCAAATGTCAATTATGACTAATATTAACTTCAATAAACCGATTATTTTGAGTTTTTTTTAGTCCGTCTGACGTACCAGGGTGCTAAAAGCTCAACGCATGATGAGCATAAAGCAAAATAGGGCTTAGCTGCCTATTCGTCATTTCGGCAATCCTAGTTGAACCTCAACTATTTCAAAATAGCAAACACTAGGCCATCACTTCATGGTTCATACTTAAAAACGATATAAAGCAGCTTTTTCAAAAAAAAAAAAACTTTAACAACAAAGAAGTGCATACATATAACAATGACCTTTCTGAATGGAGTCTTCGACCTTACTGGATTTCCATGCCGATACCAATAGTGTGATTAATAGCAATTTCTCATCGTTCTATCAAAATAAACTTCAAGTTACAAGCTCGCAACATTTTCAAGTATTACACATTATTATTCAAACCGATATAGAAAGTACATAGATAGACATTAATGTTTTCAAAGTGGTACTAGATTATTATACTTCACTACGTGTTTGACCGATTAAGTGGCGCTCTCTGGCCATCTTACTTGACAACGGCCCCACGTGCTCTGTTACTTGAACTAGCTGTCTTCTACCGCTATCTACCTTAAACTAATCAGAACTTTCAGATCGGTCTCTGATAGTAAAAGACTTTGGACTGTAAATGCCCGCCACTATATCGAACATATGAATAGTGCAGTAATTGGCTACTACGTTGAATTACGTAATACGCAGACTAAAGTGAAGACACGCCATCCAGGAGGTTCTTCGTCAGGTAATCAAATGCTACGGATTACTCGGACGTTGTCTTTTGAATCGCCGACGTAAAGCGAGAAAAAGTAACCCGAAAGACATTCTAATACATTGAATAGTTAACATCTGCTTGAAAGTTTACCTACTTTCTTTATTTGTTTCTTATTTCGTCAAATTACTGGGCTTCCTTAAGGCAGATATCTAATGGGAAACGCACAGCAATTTGTATAGCCAAAATATAGTTAAGCAACAACGTGGCTTGCGATAACCGAGCTCATGAGAAAAGGGCACTTATTCAGAAGTTACACCCCTTTTTCACTCGTTCGGAGATGGGTAGGAAAGGTCTGTTGCAGAAGTTTGCTGAGTAGATAAGCAAACGAATTGTAATGCTGAAAATAGGTATCACAAACGTCTGAAAGTAAGGAAGTAACGCGTTATGCAAACGCAGTTCTGTATTTCCTTTGTTAAATACAATTGCCCAACGAAAATTCTTGTAGCAAATCAAAATTTCCCATTGATAAAATTTATGTCATAGTGTATGATGTGTAAATATGTAATCACACAATAAAAGATAACCATTCTGGGCGATGTTGGTTTGGAAATATTAGACCACTGAGAATAAAGAAATCCAGTGTTACATACTTACACTGAAACGTCCTTCTCAATAAATCCTTGAACTGCTTTTAGGATCCTCCTCAGATAGTGTCCTTTGGGATGTGTCTAAGTCATGAAGTTAATCGCATATTGAGATTCATTCCGCTGAGGTCACGTGTAACGTATTCAACGTATGACGCAATACGGTAGGCTTTACAAATGTAGTTCATGTAAAATGTTTACCAGGATAAATACTGGCGAATAAATAAAATCAAATAGAACATTCAACATGTGACAATCTAGCTAGTAGCCTTATATTACAGGTGTAATGGAAAAACATACGTATCTCTATCGAATGTCTTCATATTTTGAAGTTTTTTCTTGCCTTGGGGCTTTCCATGGCCTATTTTTCTGCTCCTATCCTATGCAGCTTAGCGATCGTACGCGTCTTTGAATGTATTTGTTTTTAGTTTTAACTTGTAATAGTACAATATGTTGCCCAATTTTAGCTTTAGAGTGAGGTATGATGCAGCCACCTTCCAAACTATGCACTTGGATAAAGTGAGGATGTTAAGCACCAGAGGATAACGGCTTAACGAAGAATACATCTTTGCTGATCGAAGGAACATCCTTGGTATATTTAAATATCTATTTAAGATTTAATACACAAACGTTTGGCAAACCTATAAGTTTACATTTCTTCGCCGAAGCGTAGTTATTCACCCAGGTGCACTTAACAAGTTACGTATTACCTTCAGCCGCCTTAATAAGTTTATAGTACTGTTTTTGTACTGTTTTATAATCGATTATCCCTTCATTAGGTACACCCGACATAGCGCAAAACCTGTCGATAGGCTGAAAACAAGGCTGGGATTAGATAATACGATTGTGAAGGGGAAACAGTTCAGCGATTTTCGAGATCGTAAGATAAGGAAAACCTATTATGGACAATCGCCTCCCCCTGAGTGGCTGTTTTTCGGTAACTCACTGTGCTTCAAATGATGGTACTTGGGCTCATGAGACTTTCAGGGAGCTGGACTTAATTCCCGATACGCAGATGAATCTGACTGATTTCGTTTGATACATTAGCGAGAACGCTCCTGGTCTCCCTTGTTAAAATATTCGCAATAAGGAAAGACACTTGCGAATCGTTTAAGAGATCGTAGACGATCGTTCGGACCTCAGCTGTCGTAAAGCCTAAAATCAGCACTTATGAAATTGACCTCTGATATCTTGGCAGTCTGCGCCAACATCTATTGTTTCCAAAGGTAATTATGTGCTCAAAACTCTCATCTTAGTTTTTTCTATCGTCTTTTGAATACAAACTTGCAATACTGGTTCCGCTCAAAAAACCGAACAATAACCGATTGACGTAAGTTAGGTGTATGTAAACAGGCCTCCTTGCTGCTAGCTGAGTCGGCCAAGTGAACTAAAGTGTGATAGATGCAGACAGGATAGCAGTGATGCCTTACCACTCTACTTTTTGAGGTTCAAAACCGCGAGTCGCCAAAAAGAATCGTTGGCGACGGTGGCTTGGTCATGCACAGATAATTCTCAATAATTCTAAATAACAATCCTGACAGGAAAACTACAGTGCCTCTGTACTTCTGATTCGACCACCTGAAGCCATCCAAGCTTGTCTTATGTAGTGGAGTGTCCAAAAAACCTTATTAAGGGCTTTCCCCTTTAAAGTTTCCACTTCACTTGAATCTTGGGTCTGACTTAATAAATATTAACAGAGAGTAAAAGAGATAGATTTCTGCTTATGGTTAAAAATTCTTAATTTATCTAACAGTTGCATGCTATTATGTACGAATGTATGTAGAAATGTATTATGCACGAACTCAGTATAGTGAGACATTATTGTCTCTAGCGAAAAGCGCTGCAAGCGTCAGAGAAAGACGTACATGATTTCCCGCTCAGGGAAATTAAATATAATTGAGATAAATAAAAATACATAGGTTTCCCGGAATTCAGCCTGCCAGCAAACTGTATCATAATCAGTTAACGGGCCACTGCGTATCTGCACTCCAATATCCCAATAAATGGCTCTGGAGATTATCAGGCAACGAGGCTTATGGGAATTGCATTGTGATTTACAAGGTTAGGAGGAATGTAGGCTTCTCAAGTATAAATAAATAGAAAGTCAACTTTTTTTCTTAATGGTCTCAAAATGGCGGTCCTGATGTGTACATGCTTCTATATAAGAAAGCATGCAGAGTCGACGTCACGCTTGTTAGCATATACTAAAGCTAGTTAATATTTCTAAAGTCAGAACGCTTAGTAAGTTCTTAAAAGTTATAAGTATCTTTAGAATGTACTGATAGAGGAAACAGCATTTAGTGTGTATTAATGGCTCTTTGGGGATTTGCAGCAGCAGAAAAGTTCCGAATATTTTTGAGCTTTTCGCGTTATGTATCACAAGGAGTGTTGCTGAATAGAGGATTATTGAGTTCGATTTGGATACTTGCAAAACGTACCTAACAAAAACGTATGAAGCTGACCCATATGGAGCTGTAACAACGTAAGCAGGAAGGTGCATCTTTATCTGCAAACTCTAAGTCACGAAAATAGGTACATTTGAATGTAAATAAAAAAAATACGGCCTTACGACGCTACTGCAGGTTTGTTATAGGCTCTTCTTTCTACAGAATTTACACGAATCATATCCCTAGTAATATAGAAGTAAATCATATTTACACTTCACTGAGTTACTCCTTTTCGTCAGAGGCTTGCACACTAAATATATAGATAGGGCTGGTCAGATTGGAAGACAGAAGAAGTAATAGATTAGCCAGGCATTAATCTTAGCAAAAAAAAATAGATTTACGCAATTCTTACTCCTCGGCATTAGAAGAAAAATCAGGCCACCTTACAAGGTTACAGAGAAGAACAGATCCATAGATGAAGCCATTACATTCTCATGAGAATACGTATTACTATTCTATTTCACGACTTGTCCTACTATACGGCAGACAAAGGGATCGGCATGTTGGCACACATAAAATACTTGGCTAGCGCTAACTTTATGAGTTTTCTTAGACCAACTGTTCAGACAATTGCTCGATGCGGTATTATATCGTAATAAACAGAAAAGTCTACTTAACATAGGAGACGCATAGAAAGAAACCGTACGAAGAACTTGTACCACTTAACGAACGAAACGAGGCAGTGTAACCGTGAACGATATAAAAGAAAACGATTTGTAATCACATAAAAGACCTTTGTTTAACTTGCTTACTCAGCAAATGCAGCAACAACTTGCCGCTGTCGGTAATTTCAAGGAAATATAACTACGATATCTTACTTACTGTCCCGAAACTTAATCAATGGCCTAGTCAGTGACTTGTTTGCTTGTCATTACTATACGAGTAAGTTGTATACCTGCTAACAGCATAGGTGCAAATAATATCACTAAATGCGACTTACAGGCTGGATGAATCAATCTACGAGCTTTTGTCCTTACAAAATCCCATGTCATTGCATCACATAGGATAATGATAAAAATAAGAAATAGATGCGTCACCGATATGTATTGCTCATTGTTGTAATTAAGTTCTAATTAGACTGCCTGACAAGATATGATTCCAGGCTCATATGCTATTACATATCCTCTATTATAGATAAGGCTAGTCCCTAAGTCCGAGCTGTACATATATTTGAAAAAATCCACATTTTCATCAACGAACATTTATCGAATAAGGTGTTGTTTATTATTTCAATTGCTGCACACACTATATATATATATATATATATATATATATATATATATATATATATTTTTTTTTAGAAAACAGTATCTGTGCTCTCGATATCTTTGGCTATGTACTTTTTATGCTAAATAATTGAGAATTTTCTTATGAAATAGATTTAGCAGACAGAGGAACACGAGTCAGTCTTTTCGGAGCTAGATGGTAAATAAAATACGTCACAGCCAATGTCTAGCGTATTCGTGACGGGATACAAGATAAATGCAAAAAAACATGATGAATAGTTGTCCCGAAGTCGCTCTTGAATCATGTCGTTGTTTAGACAAAAATTGTTCTCGATCAAACCAGCTTTTAACAGTTCTATTCGTTTCGTTATGTAAAAGTAACTGCATCGGATCATACAAATCGAATCGCACCCTATTCACAGCTAAACTTTTTTGAATCGAGAGCCTACACAAAAAGACTGAATGAGGACCGCTACGTCCTGTTTTTCTGGCTATTTTCTTGAAGAGTGTTGTGTCTCAGTCATACGTAAAAAATGCTAATGCACTTAATTTTTTAGCCATTTTTAGCCGTACGCCAATACAGGCCGATAATTGGACTTATGAAGCAACCAAGCTCCGTCAGTTTGACGTATCCCTAACACATGTATTCGGATCCGATCGATTTTCATCAATCGCAAAGCATACAGATGTGCATCCGCAAGCAAAGTTATTAACGTCCTGTAGATTGTGATAAGTTGTTCGGGTCATAAAGCTTAAGGTCTAGTATCATAAAAGGAGCGCGCTGTTTTTGAATAGTGCGTTTGATAGCTACTGGGGACTCAAGCACAGAGCACACGTTAGCGCCAGTCTGGACCATTCCCGCTCGTCTAGAATAGAAGACCACTGTTCATCTGAATTGATCGGTACGGTTTTAAATTCTTCTTCTTCTTCTTTCTGGCTATAGGTTTGTGAAGACAAACTGCCTCGTCGTCGTAAAAATGAGCCAAATCAAAGCAAAAAACGATTCGGATTCCCTCCATAGAGAAAAAATTTCGTTTGTTATTTTTTGCTTGGCCAAGTATTATCTGCTATTCAAAATCGCCCTTCTTATCGTGCAAGTCTGTTATTGCTCCTTTGTCCGGAGAGCAGTAACTTATCTCTAGCTTGAGATCTAGATCTTAGTCCCGAAAACTGGCATCTTTCCAAGCAAGTTAATTTCAGAATTTTATAAAATGAAAAAAAAATTTTAAGGGAACAATTAGCATGAAGAATGTATAAAAATCGAATTGGTAAAGGCTCTTTTAGTCGGTTTTTTGTCGACGTCTAGGTGACGTACCATATATTGAATTGGCTATCGGTCGACATCTAATGAACAGACCTGTTGACCATATTCCCTAGATGCACGTAGATCTCGGCGTTTCCGGCCAACGTCTCAGCAACGTTCTGTCTTTGAAGACGGTAGGGCTAATGCCCCGGCGACGCACGTAGATCGAATGGGCCTTCAACCAACGTCAAATAGGCCAACATCAGAAACTGAATTCGTTAAAAAACTCACGGATGAAAAAGTTAAACCTGAAGATTGCTGAGCGTAAAACTAATCCACTTTTATGAAAACGTTGTGGTTTCTTCTAGAAGACATGCGATAACCCTTGCACAAGGTTCACAGCAATCTTTTTAATATGTCTTTGGCCAACTTACTGATTTTATACGTTGCAAATGCTTTATCAGAGAACAAACGTAGAGTATGGACTTCAGGTTCAAGCTTGGTCGATCAAAGTCACTTATTCACCTTTGAAGGGCAGTTTTCGTAATAAATTAAAACGTACATTTCCCGAGGTTAAGTTGTATCATTTTAATTAGTCGTCTGCGGTTATACAATATAATTGAGTCTATACAAAAATTATTGAAAAGACCTCGCAAACGATCTAAGAAAAATTGTAAAGGAAGAATAGCTACATATAATACCTTTCTGGAACTTTTTCTTGCAATAGCGTTCATCACATAGACTGAACTAGTCAGCGATCTCATAGAGTATAATGACAACAAGCAGAGCGTGTGCGGCAATCTAAGGTGTAACATAGATTTTATATTGAGGTGTAAATAAAGCGCATTACTTAGGCGATTCGTGTAGTTCTGTATAAAACCGTACCCCCATAGATAGCATTACATAGGTACCTATACGAGTTTTATATTTATCGTTGAATTCCTGAAAAACAGCGGACTTCGCCAACAGAACATCAAAGATCATTGCAAAATATTCTTATTCCCCGATAAAAATCAATAGTTAATAAGCGGTAACTTGACAGCGTGTTTTTCCGGCAACTTCCTCTACACCGAGTACGACTAACAATAAATAACTTTTTATCATTAATTGCTTACAACTTAGGTATTAATTTATTAAATCACAAAAAAAGCTCAGTACAGATGACCTCTTATTCCCGTTATGTAACTTTTATTCGTAAAATTTTTTCCAATACTTGTCAATTTTTGAGTCGCGCACTTCTGTTTGACGTTGAGCTGTAGCCGATTTATCCGTGATGTCTCGGAAAGGGCTGTGTTAATAGAAGGCGGAGGCTAACTTGTTGACGGTTTCATATTCAGTAAACAATATCCGTAAACAATATTCCAACTCCGCCCTTTAACGATAACCAGCAAGACATTTCTACAAATAAGCGGTTCATTTAGTATAGTGTTTGGCTGGTATCGATGTCATATCTATGCCCTATGTCAATCTGTATTTATGAATTCTTAATGCTCGTCTTAACATCGGTCGATTCACAGGAACTCGGTATACTCTCTAGAACTTCCGTCAAAACACTTAACTGCTCAAAAATCAGGTAATTTCTAGGAAATTCTTTTTCAGTATAAAGCGTCCACTGTAGGCGCAGCATGTTCGGATAGCCGATTTTTCGGTACTAGGACAGCAGGTTAGTTTCTAAACAAAACACGAATAGTCTTTGTCCGTTTGTTGAACAGACGTTAAAACGCTTCCGACAATTACTTACCTGTGCTGAAATTGGTCGTGGCTTCATATTAGCTGAGTGTACTTCATTGATGGGAAGTGCACCGAAGTGGAATGAGTATTCCACAGTGGCTGCAGAGACTTCCAGCACCAAATATACGCCCCATGGAGAAATACGATTTGACGAGAAATTTCTAAGTAGCTGCTAGTAACACTTTTGTTTACTAAACCTATATAGGCATCAGTAAATCGAGCAGCGTAAATCGGGACCTACGTAAATTGAGGTTCTTGAGGTTGGCGTAAATTTTTATACCAGCTGTGCTGAGCTGCTCCAGGTCAGTAGCACGAACTTACGCGAACAATTACGAGCAGTTTCAGCTGTTCCGTTAGTACGTTAATCAGTTATTCTGCTGTGGTCTTTGTGATCAGACTCCAACTGTCTTTTTTTATGCCACTTTGGAGCCAAAACACACTGGCCAAGCCGCCGAACCATGGGGCTTACTGCGATTGGCCTTCATTGCCCATGGTTGGTTTGGCGCTAACTGAGATGAAGCAGGAGGTTGGCAGTGAGATGAGGTTCAAAAAGAGGTGGTGTCGCCTGGGGTTGCTGGTCATTGTCGGTGCTCCGTTGGTCACCGGGGCTACCACCCAAGGGGGTTAGTAGCAAGTCCCCACTGTAATTTGGCGAAGTCCTATCTGATATAGTATCTCGCTCGATGCCTAATGCGGCACTAGAAAGGGCTGAGTGGCGCGCCACCGCATAGTAGGATTCAGTCTAGTTCAGCAGTAACGTTGCGAGACCGACAGCCGCAGCATCCTTCATCGAAACAACACATAAATGAAGCCGCAATGGCAACGATAGCTTGACCAGAGGCTATATCAATAATAGAACGCATTGCCAAAAAATTAACACTCACATACGTTAATTCCGATCGGAGTGGAAAATACTGATACATGTAAACTTCAGGCTCCTGTGAAGTCTTGCTACAGCAAATATAAGTCATGGTCCTGCTTATTCGCTAATAAATTACTCAGTTTTCGATTTGGTGATGAAATCGCAATTAGCGTACTAAAAAAGGTATAAAGCGTGAAAGACTGATCGGGCAAATTGGGCTAACATTGCGTGGCCTCATACTCTATAACACAAGTGAAGCCAAAAGAAACAGCTAAAAAATAGGCTAAAAGTGACTGACAATCGCGATTTTAACGTTGTAAATATACCTGCTGGTACATTTCTTTTGCCGATAATGGTTAGACGATGTGCTAGTTCTTTAAAAGTAGTTTGCACCTTAGTGGAGTAAGCTGATGTCTGCTATATGCCGGGAACATCTTTGTTGACATACACGAAGACGTACTATGTTTTGTTTCTCTTGCCTTAAACCCAACTGTTACTGGAAGAATTCTCTCAGATAGTAAGGGTTTATGATGTTCTGTGAGCCTGTTAGTTCATCGTTGCCGTGACAACGACCGAAGGCCACCGCTCCTCAACTATGTTTATACGAATCGGCAATACGCAGGCGGATATGCATTTGTTTTTCTCTCTGGAGGGATCCGAGTTTTGCTGGACCAGTGCTCATGAGGGACACTGCCAGGGTCCAATTTGCACGAGGCCATAGGTGCTGCGTGCGATGGCTATTAACAAAACTGTGACGCTGCGACAAGATATGTGAACCGGAAATGTGGCAGACTAAGCGGATAGATTCATTGTATCTCAACCCGAACGTACTTCAGATATTATCCAAACTATCGTTATGTATATAACTTGCTATGCGCAAGTTATTTTTTTTCAATAATTGCATGGACATATTATATGCTATCTATACCCTTTTTATAGCAAAATATTAGCCTAATCGTTTAAGTTGCTTTGAAGCCAGTTACTTAGAGGACTGTGATGGACCGGATTCCTAAGCAGATATTAGCAAAACATGATGCATCCCAGCGCTATTTCCTATACGGAGAGAGCAAGTCATAAAGTGACGCGTCAATAGCCTATATTTTTTTTTCGGGTGGGTTGCTGCTATTCGGCCCAACGAACCTTTACGGCAGTCCGCATAAAATAATAGAGATAAATAGTATTATTAACAAATATGTGCCGCAGTGTATCTTACCCAGCGCATATGACTTGGCATTGTATGCATACAAATGTATACCCTTTTTCCCCATAATAGACCTAAACCACTTACCAAACCTAAGCAGCTGAACTGAGCAAATTTACCTACTGTAATGCTGCGGTACGATCCCGTAACCCGCTAAACTATCAAGGACGCATCAAGGGAACTCGAAAACAAATTTTATCTAAGATTGATAAAAGGTTGACTTTAGCCTATTTACACTGAAACACTTGATATAATCTAGAGGAGTTTATTCAAACTTTTGCTGGCGCATCTTTTCGAAAAGTTTATAAATAATAATAATATTTACAAATAAACAAATGTTTCAAATGATGTCCAAACAGCTAAGTATCAAGTTTTCTAAGCCGTTTACTTTCTAAAATTCTTCTAAAAATAAATTTCTAAAAGTTTAATGACCAGCCTTCCACATTGTTGGATCATTATACCACTGGATAATATACAGTGTTCATACATTGTGCGATTAAAGCATTAGAAAATCATTATCATTAATTTTAAGACCGTGTGGACTCTAAGATCTCTCTTCATGTATTTGCTATTAAGGTTTCTCCGCCTATGCTTTTACTCTAATGTCCTAGAACTTACAAGCTAATCTAGAGAATTAAAAAAGGTCTGTCTAAAACGAAGTTTGACCAGAGGCGCCTGAGATATTCATCATCCAAAACGTATGCTCCCGATTTATGCGTAAAAGGAACATCGACTCAGATCGCATTCACCATTAATTTTTTTTGTTTTTCAACAATGCATTCTGTTAGTGTAGGGCGACACGTAGGTCAATCATTCTAACTCATTAAGATAAATACCCAAACTGTGCCTGCCGCTAGGTAAAACCTTTACTTCAACACTACTACAAGCGAGGTTCAGGCCCATAAAGTAACCATATTAATCGACATCAATCTTTATTACAACGTTTCGACCCACGATAAGAAACTTATTTTCTTGATCCTAAGCATTTTAAGTAGAATAGTTATTAATTATACGTGAAAGACGATGTCAAACTGTTGGAATGATGGCCAGAATCGAGAGTTGCAAGAAGAGGAAATGATTTTAATTCGTATCTTCCACCGGTTTTGATCCATATAAGTCTAGTTGCACAAATACAACTTTATGCAAAAGAAACAATCAACAACGCCAGTAGTAGGTGCACGCCTAACGATAATATGATGAGTTTTACGCTTGTAACGCAGGTGCTTGCAACCTTTGCCGTGCATGCAGATCTTCAGTCATCTTCATGGGTAAGTATGGTTGGTACCCTATCCAAGTTAACAAATTGTGAATTATTATTATTAAGGCAACAAGTTCCTTTTTTCTTTTCATATATAGCCCACAGAGATTCAAGTCAAAAAGAGATGCAAAGGAACCGCTGACCACGAAAGTTGCAGTTGCCTCTGAAGGACTGCTGGAGAGGTCTACGACACCAATGACAAAGTTCTGTGTGGATCTCTCAAATTTGGCTCGGCATGCGCTCCAGGAATCATAGCGGTATCATGAAGCCTATTATTACTGCCCAATTCCCTTGCAATGGTTTGAGTGAAGAGACCAAAAGGATCGTCAAATTTTGTGCCTTTCTACATCAGAGACCCCAGACGTCGAACTCAGAAACGGCTTTTAGATACAGATTTCGTTTATTGTTAAGTGGTTACTACAGTCCTATAATGTAAAGGCAACTTAAGCCAACCAGCTCTGTTTAAATAGTAATGCCATATAATTTATTTGAATTTTGGCGTTGATTAGAAAGGAACAATGCGCTCCGGAACAAGGACTATGCTTTAGGCTCATCGAAGACACGCGAACAGACATTTTCACAGTGTCACGGGCGGGTATATTGGTTAGTAAGGACAAAGCCACTTATTTGAAATTCCATCGGTAAGGAAAATGGGCGAATAAAACAATGATACTTATACCGACTTTTGGTAATAGGTATATAATAAATTGATTGAAACATTTGTCGCTCGATTCGCCCCCGACGTTGGATTCCAAATCGAAGAAGCTCCAGCTAAATGTAAACTAAACATTCTTAAATCGATTGCAATATCTTTATGAAACGTATTTCTAGGTAAGGAGGAATAAACTGTTCACCTTGTTCCGGCTACCGTCAACGAAAAATTAAACAAAATTAATATATAAGTGGAAAGAAAAAATAATTACCAAATGTAACATTATTTAAAGGCTGGCTATATCAGGAGCAGGAATTATTAAACAGTTATATTATAAAATGCAACTATCATTAGTAAATGAACCAGATTAACGGAATTTGTTCTCATAGCTGTACCTAAAGTGACAGTTTAAGACCTGAAAGCTGAATTATTAAACCAGTATCTTTATGAATACATGAAAACATCTAACAATTCATATACTTTTACGAATAATTTTTCTATCGAGTGGTGCTGTTATCAAAGGTATGAGTTAGCGAAAAAATACGCTAGTTTGACAATAATTTAAGTGGTTTTTAAATGGGCAGCAAATCAATTTCGTCAAGGACGTATCTCCTTTTCGCTACCTTCGGCCAATGTTTACGTCATTATTTTTACGTAGTTTACGTAGAATATCCACCAGTCTATATTCGACGTGCTTCAATGACGAGCTTAACCAAAAAGCAATGACACGTGCGATTAAATTAAACAAGTGAAGAACTAATAGCAGTACATATATTTTTCAAATTTTTTGATATTTATCTCATTTCTGTAATACTTCCTGTATTATTTAAATGTTGGCTTTTAGGTAGAAGAAAAATCCAAAATAGTTTTCTAACCCTATCCAATAATACTAAATAGACTAGAGTATAGATCTCTTCTCAGAAATACTCTATATGATTTAGTTTTGTGTTGTTATAAGGATGTACGGCTTTTAAATATATTGGTTTTTTTTAAACCATTGGTTACTACGTTTTACTCCTATTTATACTCAACAGGGATGAAATTTTCCCTGAAAAATGCGGGAAAAATGCAAATTTATTCGCACGAAACTTTATAATGTCCGCTTAAGCTGATGCACCAATCGCTCAGGAGTTCATGTCTCTCCCTGAAGCATTTTTGCTGTTCATTTTCGTCAAGTTACTGATCTTTCTATGTATTTAGTTTAGAATTTTCGAAGGGTTTGCATTGCTCATTCAAGCCACCTCTAGCGGCCATGCCTGTAAGTAATAAGTAAATAAGCAACGTCATAGCTCTCATGCAAAATTTGCGATATAGTTTCTAACCGTGTTCATAGTGGCATTATTATGATAGCAACAGGGGTTTCTTTCTTCGCGTCGAGCGATTATACGGAATGCTGTTTACGATAAAATAGCAGAGGTTAAAATACCAATTTGCTTCGATCACATTGATCTCATCTGAGGAAAATATGAGTTATTAAAGGTTATCAATATTCTTACTATTGCCGTTAATTTATCCATGACTGTAGTTTCGAACGGCTTGACTTCACGCAGTAGGTGCTCACCAATTGGTACGGTCAAAGTCACGCGTAGGGGGAAAACGTGGTATCGTAGATACATCTAACAAGGTGGCAAGCAGATTGTGACGGTGTGTGGTGTCGAAAGGACATCAGTTCGACACTATCAACTGTCGATAGTTCTGAGGTATATTCTAGTGCTGGTCAGTCTTAATATCCCAACTAAAATTCAACTCCAAAGGGCGACGACTCGGTACAGAAGCTAGTCTGGCAGAAAACGTTTGTTAATCTCGCTCGCTTTATCCTGCAACAATCAATGAATTGATTTATTATTTCAACTGGATTAAGTGTTTCTTTCTAATACAAAGTGTATTTCGCATTTTAATTGGATCCATAATAATCAACAAATGTCAGCGTCGGCGCTACCTAAAGACCTAAATAACAGTTCCCTCCATTGGTTCGTAGACCAAATCGAAACAGCAGACAGGAACGGTATTTATTTAAAAAAAAAAAAGCATTGAAAGTGTTCTCAAACTTAGTTTAGATTAAATAAAGCAACTGTGTATACGGATAATAAGTCATATATGCTCACACATACACCTCGTTAAAGCCCGTTTCATAGCTGTTCGTTTCGTCGATTTTACTATTCGCGTTGGATTCAAGTAAATAGAATTAAGACGGTACATACGTATAGTGAAATTGCTCGGATGGAAATGGATAGCGTTCAACGGTAACGTTTAACACGTCTTCCGTAATTTGAAGGGTCCAATATATCGATCGAATGTTAACGACTTAACTGGAAGTTCACCGGTCTTTTCCGGTCGAAACGCTCGTTCTCTACAAGTATAACGCACAGCAAGCGGTGAATCAACATCTTGCGGCCCGTGAGGTCTGCATTTCGTGGCTTCGTTTATATCTGTACAAAGCTCCGTTTGCTGATAACTACTCTTCTTAACTGATTTTTATTCGTCTAATATCAAATGAGGCTAAAATGATTTATAATATGTAAATGTACATCATTTTCTGAATCAAAACCGTTGTTCTTGTATCTAAATATCGATTGTTTTAGAACGGTAAGTTAGTGTAGCAGTCAGTGCCTAGACCCCTGTTATGTGAATGGTCGAGTCTTCTAGGCGAAGCCTAGTGGAGAAGATATTTTCTACCGTCTGCCCTATCGTGCGAAATATAATCACCGAACATTTACTTCAGCGACGCTGAGCAAATCGCCTTATCGACTTCTGAGCGCGTCGTATGTAACGTTTGGCGCCTACGATATTGATTTTCTAAACCGCTCAACAGTAATTATTCCATTCACATTCCGTGTTGGTGTTTAGTGCTGAGTCCTTGCAACAACGGTTGGATTTACCGCACGCGATAACTGTGTCCTTAGTGTTGTGATTTCACACCCGCTCAAAAACGGAAGTTCTCATTTGGCCAGGTAGACTTGCTTCGTTAGTGCATATGTCGTTAGGCTATTGGCGTAGACCTTCTCAAAAGCTGTCCCAACTTCCGGTGACGTATGCGAGGTCCTACACCTCGCTAAAACTTTTTGCCGGGTACAGAGCCTTTCTCGAGTGTAACCTGATAAACGCTTATCTATTTAGGTGTACCTCTCTGTGCGACAATTACGTTACCCACTAAGCAATCACAAGGACTATACCTATGTTATTTCAACCACTTGTCCTCAAATCCATTTACTATGCTTACGCGACGTTCAGTTAATTTTATAGAATTTATAATACGCAACCTCTATGTCGTTTCGTAGTAATTGCCAGTCCCGTAAACGGTTGGAGGAAGAACTGCCGATTTCAAAATACTATTAGAGATAGCGTTCCTCGCAGTCTAAAACATACATGCAACAATTACAGGATCTTTTGAGGAACTTATATTTAGAATGCATGAATGAATGAATATTTACCCAGAGTATACTTCTGGAATTTCCGAAATAGACGAGAAAATTTCCTTATAATTGCCCTAGTCTCGGCTTTGTGTTCAGCAGTCGCAAAATGCCCCACAATGATTAGCAGATACCACCAAGGGCTTCGCGTCTTTAGCTTTGTGTATTGTTTACTTTGACTGATGCCATATATTTTCACAGGGACGGTTAATCAGTAACTTCATTTATCAACTTGCATGACGCTAAATGTTTAAGTTGACTCTATTATTTGTTGTCGCTTCTATAGCGCTCGTCTGCAATTTAGGATCGGCGATTATTCATGTGCAACAATCTAGCTCAGAAATTCAGAATGTGCAGTGTCATGCTTTCGGAATTCATTAAATCGTGTTGCAAATCGTTTAATGTAAACACAGGAAAGTTCAGTAGTATAGATCCTTACGAATAAATGCCTAAACAATTTCGCTATGGGATACTTATATCTGTATAAACCAAGACGCTACTATGGTCTCTCTTCAAGATTAACAGGTTCTACAAAGCTAGTGTTTATCGTGATTTGACATGTTGAACAGTTGTCTTTCAGTGAACACTTAGGCCTCAATGAGAGCGAGCAATACTACAGTGAAGAATACTATTTTTTATTTGTTTTATGATCCAAGACATTTACGAGCAATATAGACACGTTTTTATTGATTCGAAGAAAAATTTCTTAAGTAAAAAATGCCATGTTAGTTGTTTCTCCAGAGCGGTCGTTTGTTTCGTTAAGAGTGTGATACAAAGACTCAAAAGAATACATGGACAATAACACGCACCGTATCTTAGTCAATCAAACACGTACATACCTATGCATAACATATTATATATCAATTTATTGCAAATGTGGTGAAGGGATACTTGAGGCCAAGCGTTAAAATAAACATGAAAAAATAATATGCTCCGGTGAGAAGCTGGGTCTCATGTACGCCCTATTGATGTTGTGAGTGTGAAACAGTAAACGATCGGGCGGTTTACATAATAGGTTGATAACGACGCACAGCAAGAAACGCTTCAACCTAATTTTTCATTACTGTAAAGCTGAAAATTGCAGAGAATGTAGCGAACCTGCGCGGCTCATCCTAAATGATCAATAAGGCCATCATGTGACAATATACGGATGTTCTAATATATGACCAAAAGGATAGTGTTCAACCGCTCTAATTAATGCTAGAATTAGGCATGCCAAATGCTTCACGTACTTCTCATCACACGCATTTTTAGTGTCACGTAGAACGATATAATATGTATATAGCAAAGACTGTATTTTTCACACAAACGTTCTACGTAGATAGGCCCTATTCTATGTAGATAGTACTATCTTTTTTCCATACCATCAGTTTATTTTGTCTACGCTTTTTGAAAGGGTAATTGAACTTTCTGCTATCCGATTGTCAAACGATCCCGTTCATCGTTCTAGCAGCGTCTCGTGAGCTTTCCATTTTCTAAAAATGGATCCCTTTGCGAAGAAGGTTGATTTTCTCCAGAAGAGAAGTTAAAAGGATACAAAACCTGCATACTGGTCTCCCTTACAGGTGCTCATAGAGACAGGTAGTAGCCACAATGGAACAAGTGAACACTTTCAATTCGCTTTTAAATTTTGACAGGTTTATCTGTTTTCAACGGTAATAACGGTGACTAATATCGTGAGTTTTACATTTTCATCGTCCGTATAGTGGATCCATTTTCGAGGCGAATATGGGCGCATCCTATGCGCGTTACTGGCGAGGCTTTTACCACGTCAAGATTCCTTTCTAGGCTTTAGCTTTCCTTAATGGAAATTAGAGCCTTTTATTAGTGTTTTTGTATATTCAAGGTGAGTTTTTGTAAATAAATAAATGTATATTAGGCATGGATCCAAATCATTTCTGAGGCTTCGCATATCAAGCTCTGTTTATTGTCAAAGGTATTTTGTACGAAAGTTTTCCTTTTTACTAGCGTTAACTAATATACTACGTTTAGATTTAGAAAGAAGAAGTTTCGATTTAGAATAAAAATGCAAACATGAGCTCAGAGCAATTCAGTGTCGATTACTTGCATCATAAAAGCACAACTGTATCTGATGGGTGACATTAAATATCCACTGCTCTATAAATTATCGTCCCTTACATCAGTCGAATCAAGCGATATATTAATCCGATAGTATCTAGGGGTCACCTACAATAAAATTAAATTATGATGGAGCTATGTACAGTAGCAGTAATAATGCTACACATTTGTTAGACCGTGCGTACCCATGACCAAATGCAGTCACGGCTCTTGAATTATTCGCGTAATAACGAAGTATGTATTATATATTATCAATTGCTTTGTGTGCGTGTTGCTTCAATTTTCTTAGCTTAATGTTTGTTTCTTTTTCGTCAAGAAAGTGACTGTGTTTTTACATACGGTAAGTAAAGCTGCTGCTATGTTGACTCATAATGTTATATGCGTTATAGGTGTAGGGGCTATACGGGTCACCAATTATTTTACGTGAATGAGCCAGTACTTCTACAAAACTAAAGCGAAAATATGTTTCTTTGTACAAAAAGTTGTTATCATATATATATATATATATATAAGATTATGATTCGTCTTTTATATATCCAGCTAAAATTTTACTGTGCAGTGCCAAACCGATTTTTTAATGGCCCAGCTAGTGGCACGCCCATGTCTGAAATGACGGGAGAACGATCAACAATATGCGCATAATTTTCTAAAGCCAACTATACCTGATTGATCCCAGTACAACAATAGTGGTCATGCTGATTCCGGTATAAAAGATGATCCGCGGTAAATTCTGATCATGATTAGCCGTAATATAGTGCATACGTCGGTAATATGGCTTTGTCCGAACGCTGTATTATGCCAATGAAATCGCAAATATTTTCTTCGGAAGTTGTGCTTAACACCGATATTTGCTACAGTGAATATTAATCTGCGGCGCCTTTGTTTAACTTGTGCAAATAATGAAAGCTATTACATATACACGCACGCATTTCTACTAAGCTAAGGCCTGTTAAGTCAACGGGGTGTTTTGAGGACGCTTAGTTCTTTCCGTTTTTCTGTCGAATTTGCATTTGTGCCATCCGATTTCACATATTGTCATATTCAGCACCAGTGTGAAGTAGGCATAAAGCCCTGCCTCACATTGGCCCCAATGGCCCTCAGAATGAGCTACATTTACTACATTTACATCACTCGACGCAATGACTTCTATAAAAAAATAACTGATATTCAGTTTACATTTGAAAATGTATTTTATAAGCAGGCGAAACAAAGTGGCTACTTTGCTTCTTTATTGTTTAATAGTAATATAAGTTTAATAGAATGCAAAAAACTTAACTATTCTATATATCATCTTAAAGTGTGATTAAGTAAAAAAGTTCCGCAAGTTTAATAGTGTTAAAGTTTTTAAATCAACACCCCTTTGCTAGGAAAACTTAGTGGCCCATATTGCCCTACGTTTCCCTACTCATTCTTAACGCTACTTATTAAAAGATCTCAGATTTGTATTCGTTACCTACATTGTTGCATGTTTGCGTTATTATTCGTATCGCGCAGTAGATTAGCTGCTACGGCGCGCATTCGCTAATAATGGGGTGAACGTTTTCTAACTCATACTTACATTGGATGACGCTTTATACCACAAGATTGCTTTTTAAGTATATGTGTATAACTGTGATGAGTTACGGGGCATAAACCTATTACTAAAATATTCCTTTTCAACGTACTTTGTAAACACGCCACAACAAAAATCACGTTCACACGAGGCTGTCATGTTGAAGAATGTGCGCTGTAGAATCAATTAATCCAGCCTGAATCCATCACAAAGTGGGCTTCATATAATCTAAGAATAAAAGTTTATTTAACTGGAAAACAAATTTTGCCGCAGAAAGAATACATATCTATAATAAGAAAGAGCTTTATCATACTTTTTTCAAAAATCAAATAGC